ATTTTAGGCCTATTATTATTATTATAAAGCTAGTTTGTTTTAAATGAATATTAGGAACTACAATCAATTTGCCTTGCCTAAATTTACAACGACATCATCTCATTAACAATTGCATCAACACACTAATGAGGACTCCTCTAAGAGAATGTTTTTAAAACAGACTAAAAACATCCCACATCAAAATTTAATTGCAAGGTGATCCATCACAAATTATCAAGTGTGCTCGTTTTAACAACGCAAAAATTCAATTTCCTACAGATCCAAGATGAAACGGCATCGTATTGTTCGTCAGTATTTTGTTTCCGTAACACATTAACAAAACGTTTAATGACACTAACACTAAAAACAATACAATTACTAAAATAGTATTAATAATAATATCACTAAAATAGTATTATAGTTACCGTTATCATCGTCGTCTCTGAGGGAACGCGGCGTTAATGCAGGTGCCGAAAGCAGTCCGTTTTTACTTTCACTTTCAGAGATTGAGCGCGTTTACATGCGACGACTTTCTTAACCTGATTATGTTGAATAAACTTGACAATGCATGTGGTCATGTAAACGTTTCCTTTATCTGAGCAAGTCATAAGTAAAACCGATCGACTCAGCTAGACGTTTGGCCCTTGCTCTTGTTTCTCCCGCATTTAAAACACATTAACCGCGTACTTCGTGCTTACTGAAGTGCGCATGTGAAGTGCGCAAAGAGCGCACTGCTAGGGCTTTTCTGACAAAATTATTAAAACGTGTTTTCATCTCGTGCAGAAATAGGCCCTAGTCAAAATGCTTCATGTAACGGCATGAGGATAGGCTAATGTGTCCGTAATTTTCCGTTGACAAACAAAAGGATTAGGATCTCTTTTTTTTTTTTTACCTCACTATACCAGGAAATAACCTGATCCTATTAATAAAACACTCCACCTTTGCTAGCAAAATAGAAAAAATATTCTCGTATATAAACGAAGTAGGCTAATAAAACAAGCAAATTAATGAGTAGGCTAAATAATCAAGTTAATAATAAATGTTAGCCCCGCCCCTCACGATACTATCGTGTATCGCCGATCTCACAGGCTGACGATAGGACGATATGAAAATGGAGCATATCGCCCAACACTAAGTGGTACCCCTTTCGGGATTTTTTTTTTCGGGCGAAAAATTAAGTTTCTCAAATCTTCTCAAAGCTCTGGATTCTGATAGAGGGCCATGAGACTTAAACCTGAGTGCAAAAATGGAGGCTCTAGACCCTTCCAGAGCTGAGATATCGAAACTCAAAATTTCGACCCGAAAAAAAAAACGACAGTGGTACCACTTTCGTGTTTTTTTTGTCAGGCGAAAAATGAAGTTTCTCCAATCTTCTCAAAACTCTGGATTCTGACAGAGGGCCATGAGACTTAAACCTGAGTGCAAAAATGGAGGCTCTAGACCCTTCCAGAGCTGAGATATCGAATCTCAACAATTCAACCCTAAAAAATAAAACGGCAGTGGTACCCCTTTCGGGGTTTTTTTTCGGGCGAAAAATTTAATTTTTCCAATCTTCTCAAAACTCTGGATTCTGATAGAGGGCCATGAGACTTAAACCTGAGTGCAAAAATGGAGTCTCTAGACCCACCCAGAGCTGAGATATCGAAACTCAAAAATTCAACCCTAAAAAATAAAACGGCAGTGGTACCCGTTTCGTTTTTTTTTTTTTGGGCGAAAAATGAAGTTTATCCAATCTTCTCAAAACTCCAGATTCTGATAGAGGGCCATGAGACTTAAACCTGAGTGCAAAAATGGGAGGCTCTAGACCCTTCTAGAGCTGATATATTGATTCTCAAAAATTCGACCCCCCCCCCAAAAAAAAAACGACAGTGGTACCCCTTTCGGGGGTTTTTTTTGGGCGAAAAATTAAGTTTATCCAATCTTCTCAAAACTCTGGATTCTGATAGAGGAGCATGAGATTTAAACCTGAGTGCAAAAATGGAGGCTCTAGACCCTTCCAGAGCAGAGATATCGAAATTCAAAAATTCGACCCAAAACAAAAAACAACAGTGGTACCCCTTTCTTTTTTTTTTTTCGGCGAAAAATTAAGTTTCTAAAAAATTAAACTTATTTTTTCGCACTTTTTTTTTGGTGCGAAAAAATTATTTTCTCCAATCTTCTTGAAACTCTGGATTCTGATAGAAGGCCATGAGACTTAGACCTGAGTGCAAAAATGGAGAATCTAGAGCTGAGTCTATCCCTTCCAGAGCTGAGATATTGAGATATTTATAGTGGCATAAATGGTACGTGGGATCTCAATATCTCAGCTCTGGAGGGGTCTAGAGCCTCCATTTTAGCACTCAGGTCTAAGTCCCATGGCCCTCTATCAGAATCCAGAGTTTCAAGAAGATTGGAGAAACTTATTTTTTCGCACAAAAAAGCTGAGATATTGATCTCAGCTTTTTTGGGTGAACATGAGGATGAGTAGGTGATGACAAAGGGATAAATAACATGAGGATGAGTAGGTGATGACAAATATAATTTGTGGTTGAACTATACCTTTAAAGGCATAGTTCACCCAAAATTTTAATTTAGCCCATGATTTAATCACCCTGGCCTCTAGCCATCCTTGGTGTATATGACATTCTTCTCTCAGACGAAAACAATCAAAGTTATATTAAACAATGTCCTGGCCCTTCCAAGCTTTATATTGGCTGTAAATGGTTGTTTCTGTTTTGAAAGTCAATAAAAGTGCATCTATCCATGATACAAGTGCAAGTGCATCTATCCATCATAAAAGTGCATCTATCCATAAAAATATATATTAATATAAAATATTCATATTTAAGTTGTGCTTTAGATTCAAGTCAAATCCATATGTTCTTTTGGCCGGAAGTTATTTTACTTTATAAAGTTTTAAATATGGATATTTTTCTTACATCTCCATCTTCCTCATTACTCCACATAAAGTCAACATCTGAGATATTTTCATCAGCTATATGTTCAAGCACTTCAGAACTGTATATTCTGCACATGAAAAAGTTTCAAAAATTGTATCGTTACAGTGATATATATATATATATATTTTTTTTTTATAAAAGAAATTTCAATCAGCATCACTGAAAATGTGACTTCAGTAACAGGCTTTCAAACCTACTGTCCATTCTAATGGACAGACACATTTTAAAAAATCCTGATTTAAAACGTGCAATTGTACAGTCGATTTTTAACTTTAATTAATAAGTTCAATCTTTCTATTTTACATAGAAACTATGAAATACTGGCAAAAATATATACAAAATGTAAATACACCTTAGAAAATGTTGCTTGCTTCTGTGTTTGGAGTGAGGTGCTGCCATGCTTCTCTTCAATGTAGAGGTTTTTTTTTTTATATAATTACTACATGCAGAGCTTTACTGGCATTTGATTGGATGACAAACGTCCAATCTCATGGCCTGCAGGCTTTAAACTAGGTGAAACTAGGTTAAAAAAAGGGGGCTGACATGTAATGGTACACAGGGTCTGAATGGGTTAAATAATAATTAATAATAATAAACTAATTAGAATTAAACCCAACAGTTGCTGGTTGTTGGTTTCTTTATTTACCAGTCACCTTACAACTCAATGAGCTGGTCCCAAGAAATACAAACCGGCACATGGTCCTCCCGTTACAACATTTGCATATCCAGTTCAATCTCAGGTCAATAACTTTCATACACAGTCCACATCGCACTCCAAACAACACTAGTATGAAGACATACAAACACCTGCAGGAGCTCACACACTCTCACACACACACACACACACACACACAGCTTTTGGAAATAGCCTGATATATAAACAGTTGAAGTAAACAATACCATACAGAAAAGTATTAAGAAAATAGGTCAAACATTTCCTGTAAGTGACATCACATAAACACTGCAAACACAAAAACAAATATGGACAGATCAAGCAAAAATGGTACAACCATATTTGGATTTTAAAAACGAAAGAAAAAAAAAGGTCCCTACTTACTCAGGGTGATATGCGAGAGGGTGCCAAGTTCAGACTGTTCCATCTAACAACTATAATAATAAATTGAAATTTTGGGGAGAAAACTATATAATCACATTTCATGGACATTTTGAATCACACAAAAAAAAAAAAAAACATATTTGTTGCATCACATATAAAATGTTTCATAAAAATATTATCCTATACAAAAAATGGTCAAATTTTGTCCCACCTAATCATATTAATACTGAAAAATAAAACAATAACGTATTTTATTATTTGGAATCTAAAAGATGATGAAAATTAATGGCAAGTTTAAGTAACACTAGCTAAAAGGCTAAATTTATTACCCATAAACTAAACTGAATTTTAGGAAAGAAACACGAGTGAGAGGAATAGAAATCTCCAGAATCTCTTCCAAGAGCTCGCAAGCTTCATTGATTGAAAACACTTCCTGTTTTAGCATGTTATCAATGTCACCAACATGTACCAGCATGAGAACAAACACAAGCAAACGGTTTAAATCCAAGCTCTGATTTGATTGGTCTACAGTAGCTGCCATTTTTGGATCTGAAATGGCGTTTGATTTTAGCATTGTCCTGTTCATGTAACATTCAAGTGACGTGTTCAGTCTGATCTAGAAAGAGGACCTCAATATTACCTCCTTCTCATGGACTTAAAACTCAACGTACATCTTGGCAGCAGTTGTCATTTTAGATGTCAAGGGGTCAAGCGCCAGAAAACAAACAAACATAAAAAGCGAAGAACTGTATCAGAGTTCAGTTTTCTCCTGATTAAGAGGAACTTTCTTCTGAATCTCCTCCTCATCTGAGGTGTATCCAGCTTCTTCGGTTTTCCGCTTTTTGGTGTTGTGAAGCTTGGACTTTTCCTTCTTCTTCTTCTTCTTCACCTTCTTTTCCTTTTTCTGCCCATCCTCGCTGTCTTTACCCTTCTTCTTTTTGCCCTTCTTTTTCTTCTTGTCCTCTGCGATAGCTGCCGTGTCTCCCTTCCTCCCAGCCCATGTCTCTTTAAGACAGTCTGCAGAGAGAAGCACGTGTTTGCACAGTTCTGATCTTCACACTGACTGCCAGCACTGTTATTAGCAACAAGTGATCAAATCAGAGCTTCGTGTTCGGGAAGTGATGTCTTTTTCTGGCAGATCTATATTGGTTGCTATAGCAATGACATAAGAGCCAGCACAATGCCAAATAAATCATTTATCTTCTATAACAGGAAGCAACACGCTGGTGATATGAAGACAGACCGCTAATTTGTATTCTGACCACAACTGTATAAATGACGATTGAAAGGGATAGTCTACCCAAAAATGACAATTCTACCCAAAGATCCTAGTCATCCAACTCATGTTGTTCCAAAGAAGACCTTTTGAACAATGTTGGTAACCAAACAGTTTTGTTCCCATTGACTTCCATTGTATGCACAAAAAAAATACAATTAAAGTCAATGGGGACTGAAACTGTTTGGTTACCAACATGTTCCACAAAGTCATACAGGTTTGGAACAACATGTGGGTGAGTAAATGATGATTTTTGGGTGAACTATCCATTTAATGCATTTTTTTTTTAAAACCATGTCCATTTAGTTGTACAAGCAGGCACAAGGACACCAGCTGAAGCCGTTATACGCTTTAGAGTTCGTCATTTACTATTTCTGCTCCTGTGGCCTTGAGTAACTGTCTGATTCTTCTCCGAAATAACGGCTCTTAAAAGCGGTGCCGATAAAGGAGATCAAGAGTTTTAGTCTGGAAGAAGTCATAATATTATGTCTAGTGCAGTTTAACTGTTAAGTGGGTATGTGATGAAGTAAAACAGCTGTTAGTTTCACATTACCCGTGTCTTGTCCTTTCAGCACATGTTTTTCACACAGGTAAGTGGTGAGATCTTCCTCCTGGCTGCCTTTATACCAGTCTTCAATGACTTCTTCATACTGCTCTACCATCACATCACACTACGGGAAGAAAACATCTCTTATAGGGGCATATCAGATCTCTCATTTGCCTGGAAATATACTGCAAATGGACACTCACCTAAAGGATTATTAGGAACACCATACTAATACTGTGTTTGACCCCCTTTCACCTTCAGAACTTCCTTAAATCTACGTGGCATTGATTCAACAAGGTGCTGAAAGCATTCTTTAGAAATGTTGGCCCATTTTGATAGGACAGCATCTTACAGTTGATGGAGATTTGTGGGATACACATCCAGGGCACGAAGCTCCCGTTCCCCCACATCCCAAAGATGCTTTATTGGGTTGAGATCTGGTGACTGTGGGGGCCATTTTAGTACAGTGAACTCATTGTCATGTTCAAGAAACCAATTTGAAATGATTCGGGCTTTGTGACATGATGCATTATCCTGCTGGAAGTAGTCAAAGAATGGGTACATGGTGTCCGTAAAGGGATGGACATGGTCAGAAACAATGCTCAGGTAGGCCGTGGCATTTAAACGATGCCCAATTGCCACTAAGGGGCCTAAAGCGTGCCAAGAAAACATTCCCCACACCATTACACCACCACCAGCAGCCTGCACAGTGGTAACAAGGCATGATGGATCCATGTTCTCATTTGGTTTATGCCAAATTCTGACTCTGACTTCAAAAACAGAAATCGAGACTCATCAGACCAGGCAACATTTTTCCAGTCTTCAACTCTCCAATTTTGGTGAGCTCTTGCAAATTGTAGCCTCTTTTTCCTATTTGTAGTTGAGTTGAGTGGTACCCGGTGGGGTCTTCTGCTGTTGTAGCCCATCCACCTCATGGTTGTGTGTGTTGTGGCTTCACAAATGCTTTGCTGCATACCTCGGTTGTAACGAGTGGTTATTTCAGTCAAAGTTGCTCTTCTATCAGCTTGAATCAGTCGGCCCATTCTCCTCTGACCTCTAGGATCAACAAGCCATTTTCGCCCACAGGACTGCCACATACTGGATGTTTTTCCCTTTTCACACCATTCTTTGTAAACCCTAGAAATGGTTGTGCGTGAAAATCCCAGTAACTGAGCAGATTGTGAAATACTTCACACTCAAAATTGCTTAAATAACCTTTCTTTCCCATTCTGACATTCAGTTTTGAGTTCAGGAGAGTGTCTTGACCAGGACCACTCCCCTAAATGCATTGAAGCAACTGCCATGTGATTGGTTGATTAGATAATTGCATTAATGAGAAATTAAACAGGTGTTCCTAATTATCATTTAGGTGAGTGTATTTACACAGATTGTTTTATACACTTAACCACTAACATAATACAATATGCATACATACAATCCGAAGACATCAGAAATATATACAAAAGAATATATTTTTAATCAATTTGTTTATCTTAGGAGAAAAGAATAGCATACCAGTTTGGAGCAGTATTATAAAGAAATGTATTATAAATAGTGTATACACTCCCATATACTGTATATATGGGTCAAAACACAAACACACGGTCTCAGCTTGATTATAACATGGACAATTAGGTCTCGGCTTGTTTTGTTTTGACACATATACACAATGTTTTTAAGTCTCCTGCTCACCAAGGCGAAATGTAAAAAAGAAAAATACAGTAAAATATTATTACAATAATTTAAGATAATTATTATTGATGCTTAAATTGCTTTCATTTTTGTGGAAACCGATCAATTTTTCAGGATTGTTTGATAAATATAAAGTTCAAAATAACAGTATTTATTTAAAATAGAAACCTTTGTTACTTTATAAATGTCTTTATTGCCACTTTAAGATCAATTTAACTCAAACTTTCTGAATAAAAGTATTCATAATAAAAAAACCTCTTTTGTACAGTAATGTACTTTTCAGCACTTTTTAAAGGCAAATTTGAATCCACTGAAAAACCCTTATTATTACAATTTCAATTTGTCACTCACATACCTGTTTTTTGAGGTCAGCCACTTCTGCACTCGTCTCATTCCACAGTTCAAAGGGAATGTCCATGACCACCTTCACGCCTTTATTAACCAGGTTATGTAAGGTAGAGAATGTCTCAGACATACCCTGAGCAGAGAAAGAGAAATGATCAGATCTCACCAGCTATAATACAGTTTGACACATGACACATCATCACAGCATAGACATTACAGTAAATCACAATCTCAACATCACATACTACATCCCTCCATTTACAAGATTATCAATTAAAGAAACCTTTTGACATGGCATTCATGATATGAAATGTGACCATTTATCATTGGCACTGCAATTTGGTGCATTCACTTTTCATTCAAAACCTCGAGTCACTCAAGATTGTTCAACAGATGTTAATTATTCAGTAAAAGCACTAAAGTTGTGGTGCACAAACAAAGGTGATAGAAGACCATGTAGTAGCTGACCTTTGCGAAGCGATTGCTGCCATCTCTCTCTTTGTGTAGATTGTACTGCATAATCCTTGAGCAAACGTTCTCCATCACCTCTATGAAACGAATATCACTGAAAAGCAAAAGACAGCATTAGATGTTGCTCAACAAAATACAGTATGCACGTGTCCACTAGACCAGATGCCTCATTATTTAGCTTAAGATCATGGTTTGCATTAAGAACACTTACGATTTGACATATTTGATTGGCGGTGCACCTTTATCATCCAGGAAGCGGTAGTTGGTTTCAATCACTTCTTTTGTTTTGCCAGTCTCTTCAAATGCAGACTTCATCTCAATACTCACAAATTTGCACACTATACAAACATATAGACCACATTACGATTTAGAAGACAGAAGAGGAACAGAAAGCTGCTGTGTCTCAAAACATAGTGCACTGCCTACATAGACTGCACTGTTGGTCATTATAGGCCCATTCAAACCATAACGTTCCATACAGTCTATGTAGGCAGCACACTAGGTTTTGAGACATCAAGTAAGTTACATTGAAAAGGGGAATCAATTTATAATAATTATTAGAATTCATTCATCATTAGAAATGTTTAGTACACTATACCACATATAGTAAGACAGGTATAATAAATAATGTGGAATATCAATTAGTTCAATGGTCAGACAGTTTACCGTTTTTAGAAATTAAATGATTCCAGTGATCTTTTTCGATTTAATGCTGTTATGAAACAAAAAAACCTAAGTAGACTACTATTGATATAACACATGAACCTCTGAAACGAGTCTGAAACAGATCTCAGACCTCTGTAAAATATGTGTGTTCGATTGCATTCAAGCATGATTTTATCAAGTATTGAAAACTAGTGTTGAAATGCACAAAACATCATGATGTATTAAATAAGGACAGTTTACCTTCACATTTGTTTGGCAGATGCACCCACTCATCGTCTCCGCCTTTTTTAGCAGCTGCGGCACTTACGAGAAATAACACGACGCAGGTAAAAACATTCATTTTTGTTAGTGGGAAATATTTACAATGAACAATACTAAAATACCGGACATGTTTATTTATCCAGCCGCTATTTCACTGAAGCTTTCACTTCCGCTGTGGCAGGTTGACGCAGACACTGAGCCGAGTGGACCAATCACGGATGCCGAAGTGGCATGAGCGAGCCAATGAAAAACGTGGGAGTGGTCGACGAAATGTATTCTTGCATGAGAGATGTTTATGACAGAATTCTTGACGTTTTTAACAGTAAGTTCATTTAAAGAAAGAAAGAAATTGTACGTTTTCTTAAATGCGGTAGAAATTCCTCTTATGCAGGTCAGGTTCTAGTTTTTAGAACGCTCCAACTAAACAAAAATATAATCTAAATTAAACTACCAGAGTATTTGTGCAATGGCTGTACGCAACCACTAGAGGGTGTCGCACTCCACATAATCAGATTTTCCACAGGAACGAAAAATTGCACTCATAAATTAGAATGTCATGTGTTTGCAGTGTTTACTGATCTTACCCTTGCTAAAAACCCTTAGGAACATTTTCTCTGTCATTTACAAGTGTACTAATAAAATGTTCTCATTTAAGGGCATTTTCTTGCATTTTTAGTATTGTTTTGGGTGGTCACTTGACATCTAATGCAAATATATATATATATATGAATGTATAAAAATGTATACATGTTAAATGATTTAATGTAGGAACGAGGTTCTTAACTCACTTTAAACACACTATATATATATATATATATATATATATATATATATATATATATATATATCACTGTAAAAAAAATATTTTCATGATTTGTAATCACAACATTTTTTCTTTTGTCAAATCACCTTAAATAATTTATGTAGTTCAGATAAATACATTTTTTGAGTTTCTGGTGATTAAATCTATCTCTTTCATTGCATTAACTCATTTTTTCTATTTCAATGAACTTAAAATTTTAAGGCAACCAGGTTACTTACTTTCTTAAGTTAAACCAACAATATTTTTTACAGTGTATATATATATATATATATATATATATGTGTGTGTGTGTGTGTATATGCATATATATATATATATATATATATATATATTATCGTGTCCAAAGTAAGTTAAGAACCTAAACTTAACTTAAACTCACTTTAGACACGATAATATATATATATATTATATTATCGTGTCCAAAAAACCTCTGTCCTATAAATCATTTTACATGCATACATTTTTTATACATTCATGTTGCACGTGCAGCAATGTTCAGCTTGATTTAACACCTTGAATCACCTACATTTCTCACCTCAGTGACTGAATGTGCTGATTAATTAAGTTAATTAAAATGCAAGGCAAACGTCATCACATTTATCTGAATTTGCAGTGCCAATTTGACATAACTATACCGTGGTGTTTGCCTGGATCCCTCAGGAAAGTATTGCATATTTGCATAGTATAGGTATTTGTTTTGTCAAGTTACTGTAGGCTACATCTTAGAGCCAGGAAAAAACAGAGTACATCGACATTTATATCTCGTCAAGAAATGGCAAGAAACCAAAGACATAACCAGGGTTATTTAGCTTTATTGAATCTGCATATTCGGCATTCCCTTGAGTTCAGTTTCTGGCTGTCAGAACTACTTTTTATCTTCATCGTATGTTCACACATTTCCAAGGAAAAGTAGAAACTCGTAAGAATCATACAAGAGTAGCATGTTTTTCATTCAAGTGTTTACATAAGCATTTACAGCGCCTTGGCAAAAATAATCAGGCATTGACCAATTCTGTCATGTTACTGGATCACACAGTCCCACACTGCAGTTGTGCCCATTTCAAAGCACCCAAAAAAAAATCTCAAAATGTGGCATTGTTTTTTTTTACATTTAATCCCTACATTGTAATATTTTGGAACATTTTTACAGCTATGAAAGCATCAAGCATATTTCAATACGATAATCATTTGTTGAATTTATACGCATTTCATAACATATCATCCAATACTCTGCAAACTGCACATTTTTACATCATTTCTGCCCCAAAACCAACTTTTATCCCTATTTTCCAACATAAAACAATGATAAATTAAAATAACTACAATACAATTAAGACTAATGTCATATTTATAACTCAGTAAAGTATCAGAGCTGGTTAAATGACTGAATATTTTTGCAAGGCACTGTACATGGTTCATCAGCATTCATCATCGTAGAGCAGGGGGATGTCTTATTCAATGCATCTCCCCCATACCTGATTATAATAATATACTAATTAATATTCACATACAGTAAAAATTAAGCAGTCAGAGAAAAGAAAAAAAAACAGCTCCAAAAACATTATAATAGTATAATCTATAAATAATGTCTGTCTATACTAAAACAGTCTTGAAATTAAATCATTTGTACATGCTATTCAAAATACAAAAATAAGATTTCAGTCATGTTAGATTCTAGCATAACTTCAGCCCTCCGGGTGCATAACACAAGTAACGTCACACTACGATGTGCACGTATCATAGTGAGAAACCTTCACCGGGTGAGTGCCAGCGGGTCACTGATCAGTTATTGAGAAAAAACAAATTCAATCCTGTTCCACCGAGAGCATCATGTCCTTAAACGTTCACTGTAAGTCAATATCAAATGTGTTTCTTGCTCAAGTACACTTTCCAATGAGAACTTTCTATGAACTGACTTGCTGATATAGTGTATTGACTGGTGTTGTTTAGGGTTTACATCAACATGAAATGGCACACGCAAACAATTTTTCTTATGTAATGTGACATTTTTGAGTGAAATAGGATATTCAATGTCAAAAAAACAATGTGTGGGACTCCACACCACTCCCAAAAGTATCCCATTAGTAACACTTTGCAAATCAATCATGTGATGTTATTGGCATAAATTTCTTTCAATTTTAACATTATCTGACAATTCGACAAAGAGATTTGAGAACATCCAATTCATAGCCTGCATGTGGCATCAACCAAAAAGACAAGTCGTTTTAGTGGCGGAGCAGGTTATTACATTTTGATTTATAATATTTTTATCGTTGGAATAACATGCATTGATGCATTATACACAATACAACCAAATTGATTAAGAAAATAAATGACCAATTTTGATTTCAAGTTGACTTTTAGGTTCACCCAAAATCTTAACCCTCATGTTGTGTTCGAGTCAGTCTTGTCCCCAGAAATGATAGTTAAAGGTACAATATGCAGGATTTTTGCAGTAAAATATCCAAAAACCACTTGGCTAATATTATATATTTAGTTTAGTTGATTACTTACAATATTCTAAATGTTTCCATCTATTTATAAATTGTCAGAAAATTGCGATTTTTAACCAAGGAAATGGGGCGTGTGAGCAGGGATGAGGAGTCGCCAGTCAATGACGTCATATCCATGTAACCCCCTATTTCCGCCAGGTTTGACCTCGCACTGCAATAGTAACCATGGCGACAGACGTGAACAACTGGGTCGGTTATTTCCGTTACGCGTGCTCAACAGCGTGAGCGTCCCTAGCAGGGTTTTGTTCAAACATTATGGACCATGGCAAGCAGACTTTGAGACAAAAAGAGGACTAAAAAACGAAGACCAACATCTTTCGAGGTGCCGAGAGCTCCACGTCCGCGACTAACTTCGACTTGACAAAGATGCGAGTGTTGCTTGTTACTTGAGCAAACAGGTGAGCAAATCAATGTATATAAAACTAATCAATGTTATATAGTTCAACATGTTGAAATGTTAGAATATTATCAGAATGTTATTCTCTAATGTTAATCTAGCTTAGTCTCATACAGCCAACAAACAACCTAACTAACATTCAATGCCGTTTAGAGTGATAGTGCGTTACCTCAACAGCGCTGCGTTACCTCAAGTTTAATTCCTCTAATAAACTGACCTGTGTGAGTAATTCAGCGAGTAGTTCGGTAGAATTAAATGTCTTTATATCCGCAGGACTCGCGTTGCGTGTGGCGCTGGTATTCGTCTAGCAAGCGCGCTCTGCTTCATACTACAGTCAAGTTAATAACATCAATGTATTCACTCATCCATAAAAGCGACCCCTGGTGGCGAAAACAATCTTGCATATTGTACCTTTAATGTTGTCGCGTTAGAATAAAACTTACTGACTTCATTCACACAGAATATTACTTCTTCCCAATTTTGGGGGGGGATAATGTTTGTACTTTTTTGGAGATGTTTTCCCCCACCTTGTTACACTTGTAGTATTACACTTGTACAAAATGGAACAAAGCCACACTTGTGGTGTTCCCGGTCAAAAAATGACCGCCCGGCATAAAAAAAATAGCTTATAAATCTATCGCTATGCTATATTATCACCAAATATTGGATTCAATCTTTTTCAAACTTGATTTCTTCCAATTAGGACAGGTTTTGTATTTGTTTTTGAAACGGACTGATTTTTGGGTGAACTATCCCTTTGACGATATGATGCAATGAAAATGACACAAAAATGAGTCCAGGGTCAAAAATGAGTTTGTCTGCTTTGCTGATTATGGCACTTTTCTGTCTCTTTCTGAATCTCTGTCATCATTTTCTTTACTCACCCCATCCGTCTTGTAAATGACTTTCGATTTGGTTAAATCTCAGAGAGAAATGAAAAATATTGCAGCAGCAAACAAAAGAACAAACAAGAATCGGTTGTTGTTAAGGTAATAGTTATTGATATCATCACTGATTATTGTTATTATCAAAGTGCTGTACAGTATAGACTAGCAATACTATAGCTGTGTGGTCACCGAATCGTCCTGTTCCGTCACCCAGCGGGACGAGTCTGGCGTTCGTCCGCCGCAGGGCCCGACCAACCCCTGGAACACGTCCTCGTTTGAGTCCAGGAGGCGGGAGCTGGAGGCGGAGAAACTGGAAGCACAGTGCAGGGAAGAAGGTGGACACAGAGGTCCTAGTGTCAGTAAAACATCCCTCCCGTTAGCTCTCTGTCTGGTTGGCATTGCAACACTGTCGTCGCCCTCATTTAAAGCGGCCACGTCCACCTGATGAAGGTTGGTCTCGCTGCGGGTGACCGGACCATCGCCTCTGGTGAAGCCCAAGTCCTGCCAGGCTCCCGGCGGGTGAAGCAATCCATCTGAGATAGTGTATGTTGCAGCAGTGACACCTGCGGCCTGCGGGATGTGGCTGCTCATGCGTGAGAACAGCAGCCCGAGCCGTCTGAAGGAGTTCTTCTTGGAACTAGAGAAGCGTGAAAAGCGCCTCCAAGTCCGTGAAAGTGCAGGTCTTGCTGGAGCCACTGAGGACAGGGAAGAGGAGGGCGAGGGATTCTTCCTCAGTCCGTTGATCTTTGGTTTACCTTCCCTGTACGCAGACGACGATGCCGCCGCCGCCGCCGTCGTCTCCGTCGGGGAGGCCTCCATTCCGGAGATGGAGCGGAAAAGGGCGGAGACTCCGTACGACGGATCTGAAGGCGTAATGGTTTTGAAAGAGACGCCTTTGGCCCCGACGCTGCTCCCGTCGCTGTGGTAACAGGCCTCGCCATCGTCGCTGGCCTCGTCTCGAAGCGTGGCCTCGCTGCTGGAGGAATAGTTACGCCGGGGCAGCTTTCGGTTGCCGAGAAGGTCCAAAACTTCGTAGCGAAAGCTGGAAATGTCCTGTTTCAGCTCCTAAGTCAGAACATATTCAATGTTACTATTCCGATTTACTGTTATAAACCAGATTTCACCGTGGGTCGAGGAAGAAAACTGTCATTGATTAATTTCTTTATGACTTAAGGTGCAATTTATTGAAATTTATGGAAGAAAATGGTTGGCAGAACTTTAATGTAAAAAAAAATTGGTAGCAACATTTTAAGTTTTACAGATTAAACTTAAATTTACTGTAAAAAAACCTATTTCATTAACTGATATAATGTTAATGGCAACACTTTAGTTTGAGGAACGCATGTTCACCTTTAACTATGACTTTTGCCTCCATTAACTCCTAATTTACTGTGAATTAATAGTTAAGAAGGTAGTTAAGTTTAGGTATTGGGTAGGATAAACGGATGTAGAATATGGTCAGGCATTAATATGTGCTTTATAAGTGCTAATAAACACCCAATTTGCAAGTAATTTGCAAGCTAATAAGTAAAGAGTTAAAGTTGAGTATTGGTCCCCAAACTAAATTGTGACCATGTTAAAGGAGTAGTTCACTTTTGAAAAAAACTTTTGCTGATAATTTACTCACCCCCATGTCATCCAAGATGTCCATGTCTTTCTTCAGTAGAAAAGAAATTAAGGCTTTTGATGAAAACATTCCAGCATTTTTCTCCATATAATGGACTTCAATGAGAACCGAACAGTTCAAGGTCCAAAAGACTTTCAGTACAAACTGCAAACTGTTCAAAGGGCTTTAAACGATTCCAGACGATGAATAAGGGTCTTATCAAGCGAAACGATCGCTTATTTAAAAAATAAAATAAAGTTTAGTTTTATAAGCTCAAATGGCCGCCTTGCTCTGTTCTGTGATGCGCGTTCGTGACTCTCCTGTTCGAATTTGTTTATCAAAATGAACGAATCTTTTCCCAAGTCAACTCGTTCATTTTGTTCGTTAAATGAACCAAATGACACGAAAAAAGATTCGTTCATTTTGATAAACGAGTTCGAACAGGAGAGAGTCATGAACACGCATCAAAGGAAAGAGCTAAGCGACCATTTGAGCTTATAAAACAAACTTTTTTTTTAAATGAGCGATCGTTTCGCTTGAAATTACGCTTAATTTCTTTTCGACTGAAGAAAGAAAGACATGGACATCTTGGATGACATTGCATGAGTAAATTATCAGCAAAAGTTTTCAAAAGTGAACTACTCCTTTAAATAAGTACTAAAATCTGTCTTGTACCTATACTGAAAACCACCTTAGAAATAGAGAAAGCCACATGATGAGTCAAAGTAGCTTTTCCACAAGCTGAGGTAAATACTAATTTCCAAAACCCAAATTTTACTGTAAAATTACATGATTTGTCCATTTAGATTATAGTTTATCACTGTATATTGTAAGGAAAGTATTATTATTGTAATATATCACATTTTTTCAAGTGTGCTAGTGTACCAAAAATGTTTGTTACATGATAATTCGCTAAAGTAACAATTGTGAATAAAGATAATAACAATTAAATACAAAAGAAGATGCCCAGATTTTCTAGAAACACTTGAAAAGCGTTTCTAAAATAATTATTTGTGACAGTTTTTTTTTTTTTTTTTTTTAGTGAGCATCCATTTCCTATGTCTATGCAAGATTAATAGAGAGCAGTCAGTTTCAGAAGCACCTTAAAATTCTCCTCCGTCAGCCCTTCGTTTGTCTTAGCGTTGCGGATCATGGACGCCACGTACCTCTTCACTAGACTACGGATGACTTCCTGAGGGGTTGAAGGAGAAGAAGAGAAAGCAAGCAATCAGACAGAACTCCCTAATCTTGTTAATCTGGAAATGTACAGCATGGATCGTTGGTGTGACATTGCAAGGAAAAAGAGAGATGGGAAAAACAAAGCCAAAGGCGAAGTGATTACATGCACAATGTTGTTTTATTGCATACGTGTGTAATTGCTGAGCTTTATCTGCTGGCATACCTGATAATGCTGATTCTGGATCAGCCTGTCAGCATGCTTTTCCTATAAAAGGAAAAACAAATATTCTCACTGTAATTATAGGGTAATTGAGCTCATTGACTAATCAAATACATGCCATTTATTTATTTGTTTGTTGGATAATTATACAATTAAATTCCAGGGTCATTCACAATCGACAAATTTGTGCGCTATGTGTCACCATCACTTACAACTGACATTAACAGGTGCACTAAAGGTTAAATGAATTATAATATAATGAATCTGAATTAAATACATTATATTTAATTTAGTGTACATTACAGATTTAGTTACGTTTGTCACTCAATATGCATGTTTACATTTGTCATTTCTTGCATTTTATTTCCCTCTGTACTTTCTGTCTAACAACTACTGTTGTACAGTAAGTCGTTTCCCTACTGTACTTTGATGATTGCAAATTTAGGATCCAAAAAAGAAAATTAAGTTTCTGTTAACATGTTTGCATTTATATCGGCCTCGCCAATATTAATTTCACACTGCAGTTAGAACATTTTTAGCATAGGACAATACCATTCAAAATATTTGCGGACTGTACGATTTTTTGCTAACTAAGACTTCACTCATTTGATTAAAAATACAGTAAAAACAGAAATGTGATAAAAAGCTGAATTTTCAGCATCATTACTCCAGTCTTCAGTGTCACATGATCCTTCAGAAATCATTCAAATATGCTTTTTTGATACTCAAGAAACATTTCTGATTATTATCATCAATGTTGAAAACCGTTTTGCCGCTTAATATTTTTGTGAAAACCCGTGTTTTTTTTTTCATTATTGGTTGATGTTCATGAAAGCTCACAAGAACAGCATTTATTTCAAATAGAAATATTTTGGGTTACACTTTATTTTAAGGTGTCTTTGTTACACTGTAATTATACATTTAAGGACTGAGTAATATTAAGCAACTATACATCTAAGGTTTAGGGTTAATAGCATGTGATTATGCATAATTTCGTAACTGAATGTAACATAACAATGACACTGTAAAATATGTGTTACCATCTTTTGTTACATTATGAAGGTCTTTACTGTCACTTTTAATGCATTCTTGCTGAATAAAAGTATTCATTTCTTTTCTTTTTTTTTTTTTGTTAAATCGCACCGACCCCAAACTTTTAAAGTAGTGTACATCCTAGACTGACGGTGATGATAAAAATGATAGTTTGACACTTATTGTATCAATCGATGCTGTTGACATTCAGGCTGCTGCATATTTTTACAAAAAAAAGTTGGAATAGTAAAAAGACACAGTAGCTATGGAAACAAAGAAACAATCTTGGGTTTATATCAACACTTTCCTTTGACATCCACAATGAGGGAATTAATCAAAATGTTCAAATGCTATTTAAATGTAAATTCTCGTGTGGAGCCTCACAATGCGTTTGCTGTGTATTTATCCAGCAGATGCTTTTTTTCAATTGGATATTCACATACACATGCAGAAAAAGGCGTTCAGATATCACAGTATGAGCTGTAAAAGATCTTTAATATTCTTATCAGATATTGCAGGAGAGCTGCTCTTCTCTTAGCTCTACATGTAGGCAGCTTTATATAATGATCAAGGTTTGATCCCAGCACAGCAATGCCAGCAAACATGTGGGAGAGAGTTTTGAGTGAGTGTGCTTCGGCTGTGTGTGTGTGTGTGTGTGTGTGTGCGTGAATGACAGTGTGAAAAAGAGAGAGAGAGTGCATGAGCATCTGTATTGATGCAGACCAATAAAGGCCATGCAGAGAGATGGATTTGTAATAAAAGTGCATCAGGTGGAACAAGAGAGGTAATATTCGAAACAGAGATGACGAAAGTCCCAGGAGTTTCGAGGGAAGTTGCATGGCAACACAGGAGGTTAAACTCCAGACAGACTTGGGCCATGTTACACCTCATTACATCATCAAAGGAGACATGCAAACTTATTGAATAAAGGAATCGTCCTTCATAGAAGTTTAATTAATTCACATGAAACTCCACTGATTCAATTGAAGTGAAAATTGCAACCAATCTGGCCACTCTGAATGAAAGCAGTATTTGGAGTTCGGGGAGAGGGGAGGGGGGAGAAGCTGATTGTGATGATGTCAAAAAAAGACCTGTCTCATGAATATTAAGTCATGCTTATGTTGCTAGGTAACCTTCCTGGTTATCTAACTTAATTCATATTCGTGCACCCAGCCTTTGCCATAGTAGCCCTGATAAATGGGTATTTCAGATAAAATGCAGCTGACCTGCAATGTGACATGCTAAAAACTATGTTAAACCAATTCTAAGAATTATCCAAGCTGTTTTCTTGACCTCATATTAATTGATAGACTACACAGGATAAATGTACTTTTAAAAATGTATAATGCAAGCCCCTTTAAATGGTACTACCAAAGACAAGAAGTAATGGTGACCAATTTTCAGTTAAAATATACTCTACCTAGAAGACAGTATTTTTATTCAGCAAGGAGGCATAAAATTTAGCAAAAAGTGACGGTAAAGACATTTAAAGACATTTGTATCTCAAACAAATACATTTAATTTACTCAAATAAATAACTGATTGATAAATATTTGAAACAGCATTTATTTGAGATTTTAAACGACTTTTAAAGACATTTAATTTCTCAAATCTCTATTGATCAAAAAATCACGAACAAAATGTATCACGGTTTCCACAAAAATATGAAGTTGTTTACAACACTGATAATACTCATAAATGTTTCTTGAGCAGCAAATCAGCATATTAAAATGATTTCTGAATGATCATGTGACACTGAAGGAGTAATGATGCTGAAAATTCAGCTTTGCATCACAGGAATAAATAACATTTTAGAACATATTGAAATAGAAAACAGTTTTTTAAATTCTAATAATATTTAACAATATTACAGTTTTACTGTATTTTTGATCAAATAAATGCAGCCTTGGTGAGCAGAAGAGGTTTATTCGTCTAACTGACCCCAAACTTTTGAACGGTAATGTATACTTTCCCTTAAAATAATGTATATTTAAACCTAAAGTCTTAATGTTAATACGAAAAGAAAGCAACCCAATGAGTGTGCATGTGCACTGCAGATATCTTTGAGGTGTAAAGTGTTGGAGATTTACAACACTGACATCACTGACTGGAAGATCAAGGTTTGATGCATGAGTATTTGATCTGATGTCGATTTGAATGCGCTCGATTTTTTAAGTTGCTGTCTTTCTTAAAGTCAAAGGTTTTTACATGTACACTACCTCTTTCACCCAGTGATACCTGGTAATGCATGATGATACTAGTCTAAATGCAATTACCGCAGCCCACTATGTGTCAAAAAAACAATAGTTCAAAAGCAATAAAAATGTAAATGAGCTGTTTTAGCATTCAACATGCTGATATATGTGTGTGGCTGTGCTGTTAGTCACTGTAATGGGTAATCAGTTACACAATGAGCCGGCTGCATTGTGCTTAAAGTGTCATTTAAACCAGAACCACTTGATCAGATTCAGATGCAATCACAGAGAGGATGTTCAAAATTGATTCAGGGTTTTTCTTTACCGTAAACTCCTTCAGATTCTCGTGTTTATGGGGGATTTCTTCAGGTGGAGCAGTCTCCGACCCGCAGAGCCGCCCGTGTACCCACAGACACAGGTACCAGAAGGACTTAGGACTGGGGACTATATTGAACGGTGGAGGGAGTGTCCCACCCTCATCAAAGTAACTCATCCACAGCTTGGTCCGAGCAAACTTCCATTCGATGTCAGCATGGTCCTGGGGCATAGTGACACAAGAACTAATAAGAAGAAGAACTGAATCATACACTCTAAAAAATGCTGGGTTGTTTTAACCCAGTTTTGGGTAAAATATGGACAAACCCAACCGTTGGGTTAATTTTTTTAATTACATGTTTAACCCAACGTTTGGGTTTGTCCATATTTTACCCAAAACTGGGTTAAAACAACCCAGCATTTTTTCGAGTGTAATAACCAACAAAATATTCAACCAATTCATCTAGTCAGCAGGATGCTGAAACCGTATATTTCTGGCCTTTGGATTATTGTGCTCAGTACTCACAGCGATCAGCTGGTAGGAGTTGTTCATCATAGCGATGAGCATGTTGAGGAGAACCACCAGTGAGATGACGTTGTAGGTGCCGAACATGGTGGCTCCAACAAACTCAGTAAACTCGTGCCGAGCCTTCACATTGGTTACGTAAAGATTCAAGAGGCCAAATATCGACCAGAACAGAGACTGAAGTGTCTCAAATAACCTGACAGATGAAGGGAAAAAAGGGAAGAAAGAAACATGATGCATTAAGGATCGGGCAGAGAAGATCACAAAGCTCCAGGGGTAAACAGTTCATTAGGAAATAATGTGAAATGGATCAAGTTATTAATGTGTGTGAAAGATGGTGGTGAATGTGAGAGATTATGACTTGGAGAGATGAAGGCAATTGTAACAACAAAAGAAGGCGTGTTTCGGCGCAAACATTCCCTGGTGCTATTTTACACTTCCAGAAAACAGAAAAAAGCTGGTCTAAAGTCAATGGCGCATTGCGCGTTGTTCATAATGGTATTTTAAGCGCGCATGCTTGGCCATAATGTAGTGGGTGCACAACGCGCAAACACTTTGATTCTCTCATCATCAACACAGATGCAGCAGTTGTTATTTTTGCAAATCATACATTATAACAAGGAAAAATATTAACACATGAGGGAAATCATTGTGCTTTACATGAAGATGAAAAAACCTTATTACCCATTTTTTAAGGCTAATTGTAGTAAGGAAGCAAGGATCAGACCTGTTTGCCCAATAGTGGCAAGAAACATACGTATATAATGTTTAACCGACGCTGATGTGCGAGGGTTTCTCCCATCCCCATACAACGTCACTTCGGTCTTTCACTGCCCTGACAAGAAAGTCGGCCTCATCGGCTGTGAACGTGCCTGGTAAACCCGCCGTTATAATAACAATCCATCATGCAACATGCGCATCTGCTCTTAAAGGGTATGTTGGATGGCGCTCTGATTGGTTTATTTCATGTTACGCCCAAATCACACCTATGAATAATGAAGCTACTTCAGACCAACCGCTTTTAGATTTGCGCCAGGCGCAAGAGGCATTTATCCCGCCGGGAAAATAGCAACAACGCCGGGACCCGCCCACAAAGTTACTTGCGCTTTGACACTTGCGTTTCAGATCGTTAAAATAGGGCCCCAGGTCTTCGAGGTCAATATGACCCCACATTGAAATAAATGGGAAATGTGATGTGAAATATTTTTGGTATGGTTTGCACACACACAAGACATGAGTCTCACAGCAGTGTAAATAACCCAGATAGACGCTACAGTACTGCAATGCACAGCATGAAAAGTTTCAGAAGGCAATGTCTGAGTCTCTAAGATTCGAAGTTTGTGCATCTACAGGCTCCCTTAAGGCTGATTACATCTGCGTTGGACCTACGGCGAAGCCTCTACGCTATATACTACACGTTGGTTTTCATTTATACTTCTGCGTCGTTGTCCACATTGACAAGCAATTACACATGCAGAGGGAGCATGTGAAACCCAGGGAGCGGTTCTAGCAGACCAACCACAGCGCTTGCGGTACGCGTAGAATTGACACGTTGTTACATTTTTGGAGAATTGCACGTCAGGGTACGCCGAAGAGTACGCACACTACACACAGCCTACGGCGTAGCTACGCCGCGAGTTCGACGCAGAAGTAAGTATAAATTGGGGTGAAAGGAATAGCACTTTGTGCCCACGGCCAAAAAAACAGACAAACAGTAAATATAACAGGTGATAGTTTGTAGTGTATTCCCCAGGAAAATGGTGCACATGTACATGGATAAAAGAAAAAGAAACTAGAAAGGTCAGTGCCGACGCTCATGTGCCCCTTGTAGGGGCTTTTGGCTGTGGACAGGGGTCATCATAGTGACCATGAGCAACACACTAGGCTTGCCATTTCAGAAATCCTATGACCCAGTTTTCGGACCATAAAAATGTGGTCCTTGTCAAAGTAGTTGCTCAGTTCCATACACACACACACACACACACACACACACATACAGTATATATATATATATATATAGTATGTGAGAAGAGGCAAGCGACCTCCGCAGGGCATCTGTGTGAACAGAACAGTGATGTCCATTTTGATCACATGGGCCAAATTTAGAAGGCTCTATCCATGTTTTATTTTTACCACATTCATATAATAAATGACAAAAATAAAGCGTGTTCAGCACCTGAACCACATGACTGATGTGGCAGAGCCCTAATGGAGGCACACAGGTTTGCCTCAAGCACCTCACTGACTTGTCAGAGATACTGACATAACAACTGGCAGCCCACTAGAGCCGGCAGCTCTGCACATCCTGTGCCGGTTCAGTCGACATGTGGCATTTCAAGCTTTACAATTCAAAGCCTAAAATAATACACAGAAGACATGAATAATTTTTTAGTGTATTGAGTAATACCTGTCCTCAGAAATCTTTTTAGCTGCTATAGCACTGCAAAAATTATAATAATAATTATAATATCAAAACATCCATAAAAAAAAGATACATTTACTTGAGAAGCAAACCATAATTATTACAAATAAATGTTGAATCCATTTAAAATTGCTTGAGAATACCTGTTTTCAGAGAATACTGTAAATCTTGAATCAAGTTACCCTATTGGGAAATTGTTCTTTTTTCCCCATATGATCTCAGATTAAAAATGCCAATAGTGCAAGTCTTGCTGGGAAAGCAGACAAAATACTGATTAATAAAAACATGTCTCTTTGAAAGGCTCAAGCCGTATGGGATGTCAAAGACTTTAATCTGTGAAGGGGAGTCTCTGTGACTGAACCTCAGAAAACACCACATGAAGCCTGAAGGAGCTTGTGTTGCTTCAGATGTGATGTGCGTCGAGGGATTTGATATCTTGGTGTGGTAATGCCACATACAGCTCATATGCAGCTGCAGGCAAAAAAACAGAATTCTGACGGAAATGCAAGAAAATCCCAGGACGCTTCAACAACATGCTCAGATTTTTTTGTTTTGTTTGTTTCAGGTGTTTATGTTTCACAGAGCAGCTGCAGTTTTCTGCAAAGACACAGCACAGATTAATCTTCTACTTTCTCAACGCTTGCTCTCAAATATCCATGAGGTGATTCTTGAATTTATTGTGTAATTGTGCAGTGGTGGATGATTGTGCAGTTGTCGATGGGTCATTGATCAACAAATCACTGGAAAAGCAAGAGGTCTTGATGAATATTCAGAAGCAGCATCAGCATTGACTGAGCCTGACCTGGAGCTGCATTGCAGGGAAGAATGAATGCATGTTGTAAACAAACAGTGTTGAGCAAGCTTCCTTCAAGGTACCATTTGGACTACATAGTGCTAAAAAATTGTTGTTAACTACATTGAAGCTATATGGGGGCCAATAGAGTGTTGCAGGATGACATATTTTTGTACTTCAGTAAGTAAGTAGTCAATGGGTTTTTAAAATAGATTTTTGGTTAAAAGCCTGAAATAAAGTCTGTTTTAAACAAACGCTCGAATGAGGTCTGTTTTTAACAAAAGCTCAAGATATTTTTATGTTTTAACCATATGGCACAAAATATATCAGTAATACCTCCTTGTGATTTTTTTAAAGCTTTTACTAGTCATGAAGAAAGTGGTTGTTAAAGTGTTAATGGGACCAACCTTATCTGAGGGTTGTCCACCACTGAAACGATTAAAGGAGAACTCTGGCCTTTGGTCTAATTAAACATCGGTACCTAGTCAACCGTTCTCTGAGATTTGTTTTCATGATAATCAAATGTGAAGAGTTTTATCTCTAAAAACTGTTTAGTGTAAACACTAGTATATGGGGGCATATAATAAGAGAAATTGCTTCTTAATACCTCTAACAAGGCTCAAAATAGCCCCACACTAACAAAATGAGGGTCCCTACATGCAAAACGAAGCATTGAGAACTTTGTAAGTGTACGGACCGTTTAATAAGAAGATACTTTATAAAGACAGTGCACTTCGTGTATACAGGCAGCACCATCTTTGGAAAACAGTCTCGAAAGTCGAACCACGAATGCTTCATACAGTTCAGCTCATTTGGTACGCCGTTCGTGGTTCGACTTTCGAGACATTTTTCCAAAGATGGCACTGCCTGTATTATAAAATATCTTCTTATTCTGTGACGGTCTGTACTCTTACAAAGTTCTCAATGCTTCGCTTTGCATGTATGGACCCTCATTATGTTACTGTGTTAGTGGGGGCTATTCTGAGCCTTGTTAGTGGTATTAACTGGCAATTTCTCTTTACTTATTATGCCCCCATATACCAGCGTATATGCTAAACAGTTTTTAGAGATAAAACTCTTCACATTAAATTACTAATGTGAGAACAGATTCACTAAATAACACAACAAACAGACGACAAAAAGAGGGGAAAAGAAATATGAAGACGCTAGCCCAGTCATAAACTCACGTAGAGAATGCATTGTTCTGTTTCTCGCAGCGGATCCCCTTGCAGTGGTTGGGTTCGTCTGCTGCCTCGGTCTCGTAGTAGAAGTAAAGCTGGTTGAGTCCGTTGGCAAAGGCCAGCAGCACAAGACAGTAGATGAAGAGGAACTTGAGGATGTCCAGCAACATACGGCCCAGAGAAATCTGCAGTGGGCCCAGATGAGAGTTGGCTGTGAAGAGGGAGATGAGCCGAAGCGAGCTGAAGATGTTAGCAATGGCAAATAAAGCCTCGGCGATCAGCGTCGGATGCCACATCTCCCATTCCTCTCGAGGACGAGAACTGTTATACTGGAGAGAACATAAAAACATTCAGAAACATTGCTAATTAGGCTATTTCATGATTTAGTTTCAGCGTTAGAAGGGATTCTGGCTACGCAAACATGATGCAAAAGTACTGCAAGAATGCATGTTACACACACTGCCGTTCAAACGCTTGGGGTTGGTAAGATTTTTGAAAGAAGTCTAAAAACATAAACAGCTTTCTATTTTAATAACTAATATTTAAAAATGTCATTTATTCCTGTGATGGCGAAGCTGTATTTTCAGCATCATTACTCCAGTTGAAATCATTCTAATATGCTGATTTGGAGCTCAAGAAACATTTAATATTATTATCAGAGTGGAAAATGGTAATAATGGTAATATAATGGTAATCCTGCTAATATTTTTTGAACGGTAGTGTATGTACAATGGGACCATCCTTACAGTTGGTTGGCCAAGAGTTTCCATATTTGTGTAGAGTCCATTTTTAGCCTTATTCACATATTGTAATACCCACAGTCCAACATAGCAGGTGCTAAATGCACTATAGCGCTGCATCATGCATATTTAAATTCATTGCCAAGTCACTGTCATTTGTTTCTGGGCAAATAGGCCTCTTATTTATGCAAATGTGGCTCAATGGATCGAATTCACAAACATGAATGGATTGGCTTATTTGCCTGATGCAGTTAACGCTGCGCTAGTACCACCTGCAGAAGCTGACAGTAATTGTATTTAAAAAGTGTGTTTGTGTACATTTTCTAGTGATCCTGGCAGTAGTAATTCATCAAATGATGATCAAAAGACGTGCCGTGTGGTCGAGCAATATTTAGCCATTTCAAAAAGCCTAGATTGCAATGGTGAAGCACTGCAAAGAAAAAAATTGAAATGCAGATTGCAATCAGCAGTAATTTTGTGGGCGTGTTTGCACCATTACCTGATTTGCATAATTCCTTGAGTTAATCAGGTGCTGTAACAATACAGACAACAGATGCAAATGACACAACACTATCAACAGGTTTAAATCACTGAATTCCCTCAAGAATGTTTTTGAAAGAAAAAAGAAGAAATAATTGGGGTTTTAATTGAAGCACCTAGAGATGCATTAGTTGTTTTTGTTTTTGTATTGTTTTTCCAATCAGTTGAGTTCTATAGGTTCTTGGACATTTCCTAAGCTTTTGCCTTGCACCATCCTTCAATTCCATGTTTCAGTGGGCAGAGAAATAAGTCTGGCTTTTGAGTGCAAGGCATGGCCGAGCTCTTCTTGCTTTAAATTCTGCTCTCTACTGGGACTAAGACCACAGTATTAACTGACTCATAAATTCACCCTCTATTCCCACGTTTTGAATTCATACTGTAAACTGATAATACATGTATTCAGGAACATTCACACAAACATTTATAGCTTTAAATGCATTTCTTGAGAACATGTCCAAATGCAAAACAGAACATAAATTATATGGCTCGGACCATTGGATTTCTCATCTCACAAATGTACACACGCGCACACACACACACTGTAAGGGACTCGTGTGGGCTGAAACCCTTGCATGCAGGGTGACTAACACAGCTGCAGATGGTCATGGAGTCTGGAGTGTGTCTGTGTGCATGTGCTCGCGTGCATTCGAGAATGAACCGAGAGCAAAACAATTGAGGGAGGAGCTCACCTTGACATAAGCAACGATCTTTAAAGAAATAGTGGCCAAATACAGTGAATTCATAGCAAAGTCCATCAGGTTCCACCAGTCATGGACGTACTCATTAAAACCTCCGTCCCACATCTCCTTAATCTCAGCCCATATGAAGCCTATGTGCAAAACACACAAACATATAATATATCAGTTATTGAAAAATACTTTCATTTATCATATCGGCTGATTTAACTGGATATATATTGCATTAATTATTGTGAATGCTCATTTCCCCTATATTTACATTTACTAGATTCAAAAACGGTTAGACTTTATTTCGATTGTCCGGTTTAGACCTAATAACTACAAGTAACTTTGTAACTACATCCCAACTAACTGTAATTAAAGTATTAGTAGACTTTTTACATTATTTTACATGTCAACTTATTCTTCTTACCTGAATCCTAACACCTGACAGTCTTCTAGTCTACTCTATTGAGAATTAGTTGACATGTAGCTGCAAAGTTACTTATAGTTGGTAGAATGAAAAAGGTAATACATTTTTTTATTTAATAACAATGTTAGATGGAATCATAAGCAAATCTCACAATGAATATACATTTTTCATACTGTACATTATAACATATATATTATAAGATGTGTGTTTATTAGATCAATGCATATTTAATTGTTCATGCTCATTTCCGCCACTTTTACATTTAGAGTACCTTTGCCATCATTTAACACTCACTATTACTTTTAAAACACTAATAACTTAATAATTTAATAACACAGTAAAATATAATGAAATTTCACAATGAATATCAACTGTACATTATAACGCTGTGATGCCTAAACATTTTTTTTTGTTTTTCTTTAGACAAAATATCATTTAATTTTAATCTTGACAATTTATTGATTATTGGCAATAATAGGATAATAATAATTGGTTTATCAAATTACATTTGTTATTGCACACTATGCACTGTAAATGATGTTTTATATAAATATATATCTGTATGAGATAGACGTTAAACATTACAAATTAAATCAAACATTTCAATCGATGTCAGTTGCATTTTGAATTGTACTGTAAGTCAATGTGAGATTTTTCAACTTTAATCTTAAAGGTCTAAAACATGAAAACACTAAAATAAACATCAAAATATACAAATATAGGTACTTTACTTGAAGGGGTGTGCAAGACTAACATGACACCTTCATAATCATGACATGACATATTAAGTTTTATGCATGTTTGTGACAACTGTCATTAAGTGTCATTCTCTCAATTATGACATTTTAATGCAAATATGACATTGTTTGAGATGTCTTTGTTATGACACCTTGACATAAACCAATACATCATAAGCTGTCAGTGTCTTTCTCATGACAACTTGGCATTACTAAGACAACACAACCTGTCATAAACATGACATCTTAAGAAACCACCTAGCTTTATTGGTTAACATTACATTAAACTGTCAGGTGGTTGGTTTTGACATTGGCTGTCATGAAGCCATTATAAAATTTTAATGACAAATAAAAGTAGTACCACTTTAGTTGAGGTCACGAAAAATATTAATGTCACAGTTATAATGGCCTCATGACACCCAGTGTCAAAACCAACCACATAACAGTTTAACTTAATTTTATGTGAGGTTGTCATGACAAAGACACTGACAGGTTATGATGTATTGGTTTATGTCAAGATGTCATAACAAAGACATCCCAAACAATGTCATATTTGCATTCAAAATGTCATTATTGAGTGAAAGACACTTAATGACAGTTGTCATAAACATGCATAAACCCTACTTCATATTCAAGACATGTCATGGTTATGAAGGTGTCATGTCAGTCTTATGCACACCCCTTCAAGTAAATCAAAGCTGGAAATAATCTACAAAAAAATTTGAAAGCTGTTAATGTCACATTATGTTCAGTTAGTTTCATTATCATGGATTTTTACTTTGTTTCCATGTTCAGCATGTGTTCCTTTGTTCAGTTTTGCCGCTCTTCGTGATTAGTTCTGTGTTCTATTAATCATCCTAATTTGTGTTTGCTATACAAGTTGGTCCCATCAATCATTACCCTATGTGTGTGTTACCCTCCTTGTCTTCCTTGTAGATAGTTATAGACCATTTGCAAGATGTAAACAACACTTGTCCAGAAACACTTCCTGTTTCAGTTTGTAAATGGTTTCTTTATTTCAAATGTAAAGAAAACATCTAAAGATGTGTGTTTAACTTTTTGATTCAGTTGCATATGTTCTGTTGGTTGTATTTTATTCCAACGTTTATGTAGTGTTAAAAAACTGAAACAGGAAGTGCTTCTGGACCAGTGTTGTTTACATCTCGAAAAATGGTCTATAGTTAAAGGGATACTCCACTTTTTTGGGGAAATAGGCTCATTTTACCACTCCCCCAGAGTTAAAAAGTTGGGTTTTACCGTTTTCGAATGTATTTTTTTTATATATTTAGAAGAATATCAGTAACCAGACAGTTTCTGGTCTAACTGACTTCCATAGTATATTTTTTTCCTACTATGGAAGTCAATGAGACCAGAAACTGTCAGGTTACTGATATTCTTCTAAATATCAGAAAATCGGCTGAATGGATTTGAAAATGGTAAAACTCAACTGTTTAACTCTGGGAGAGTGGTAAAATGAGCCTATTTCCAAAAAAAGTGGAGTATCCCTTTAAAAGTCGTATTGGAACTTGATTCTTCTGTCTTCCTGAACCCATACGTGACAGTTAGGGCTTAATTATAATTGCAGGACTTCATTACTTAGGGCTAAGGGTTAAGTTAAAGTCCCTTATACAGCGTCAACTTGCACACACTATAAACGAGCAATTTCATTACATATTTCATTACTAATTTTTACAAGCTAAACAACCTACATCCCCATCATCACACACACAATCATACTCACCCAGCACCCAAGGTAGTATCATCCACTCCACCACAGTGGGCGGAGGGCCCTGTATGTGTAGGTTGGTGCGTGCAATGTGCTGTGAGGCCAGGAGGAGGAGGAAGAGGAAGGTGAGGTAGGAGGCTGTGTGGCAGATAAATTTAATGAAGGGTTTTTTGATGAAGAGCCCCAGCGCGCTTTTGGGAGCCAGCAGGTAGACCAGCGAGAAGACAGGGAAGAGCAGGCCGATAATGAAACACATGACCAGCTTAACTGCCCAGTGACGACGACGCCAGCCAGGAAATCCATCATACCATAGTGTGGCCAAGAGCTGCTGACAGTTTGGCTGTGCCACGAACTGGGGGGGAAAAAAGAGAGCTTTGTAAATGGATTTGTAAATGCTCATGCATAGTGGCAACCATGCGCAGAAGGACCAATTAGCTAGGAGAAAAAGAAGCATTACTCACTCTGACCAAAATGAGCAATATTTCATTTATCCTACAGATGGGTAAAACTACATATTTTCATAATCCTCTTGTTGGTGGGTGGCATGACTAGTTGACTAGGTGATCTTAAGGAAAACCTTTATAATTAGGATCCACCAGACCAGAATCAAAATCGGATATGTCTCTTATGCGACATTCACAGCGTCAGAAACAGATGGAGAAAAAGAATGGAACAGGATTAAGTGCAATATGTGGTCTTGAGCTGAACTTGAAGATGTTTTCAACTTCAAATGCAAACAATCATGGTGCAAACTTTTGATGGGTAATCTATATAATCGCATTTATGATTTATGATGCATCTTACCAGCAACAATCAAAATGTCTCCTTTACAGTCAAATGCAATTAAAGTAACTGCCTATATCTATAAAACATGATAAATCTATGCACATTTATTGCATAAACAAACACGGCTCGCTTTAAAAGACACACTGTGATTCATTTCTCCGCATTCGTTGTTGATCGAACCATGGTTTGCAGCTGAATGCGAATATTGGAACAGGAAGACAAACGACAAAGACAAAGAAAGGGGGTTGAAGCTTTCAAGTGTCAAAAAGGACACAAAAGCACAATAAAAGTGTCAGAAAATAAAACATATGATGTGATTGCTTTGTTCACAATCTTTTAGGGTGCTTTCAACACTAGCACTTTTGGTGCACACCCGGGTTTGATTGATTTCAGAGTTCGGTTCATTTGGATCATCCGAACTGTACCAGTCCGCATAAAAAGGGTGAAAAATCAAAAATCAAGTACGGTTTGCTGCTGATATGAACCCAATCGTACTAAATCGCAAAAGTGAACCGCTATTAATGACGTATGATTTGGTCAATCTGTGTGTTTGAGTGTGTTTCACTCACTTTCCTGACAAGCGTGACTGACGTTCTGCAAGCAGAGAGAATGTATATGTAATTTCTGATCATCTTCAGCAGAAATGGACTCCTGTGTTTTGGACATTTGCAGCACATTCGCGTCAGACAGACACAAGTGCCATTATGTGCTGATGCTTTGGAAACCAAAGGATCAAAAACCAAAAACTAAAAGTTTGTCTTCACATGAACACAAAAGACACAACCAATGGATGAATTTTTTTGTTTTACTCTATTACTCTCTCCTCTTTTATGTGTGTGTTCAATTTTGACTCAAGTGTTTCAACTTGGGCAATTGTGTACTAACTGAGCTGAAGCTGTGCTGACTTGAGTGAACAATATTGAATACTAGTGTTTTTTTCCTCTCTGTAATCTGTAAACACGCCGTCGTCTCAAGAAATATGAGACGAACACACGAAACCACTGAAACCGACTGAAATGGTGTAGTATATATGCCAGACCAGTAAGGGACGCTGTAATTCTGCAACAGAGATGCACTATACACAGAGAAGAAGACTTTGAGCATGTGCATAACCTTGCACGCTGTATACGAACCAAGAAGAAGAAGACGAAGAGGCGACATGTGATGTGATGACATCATCGTTTCATAAAATATACGGATTGGCTGTACACACGAAACCGCAAGGGTGTCGTTTTCAGATTTATCCACTTTGGGACCCGGTTAAAAAAAAAATAGAGGTTTCACTCTCCCGAAACGCCGGATCCATGTGGACGAAACGCCAATACGATAAAAAATGTATACGTATACAGCGAAACACGTCTTTGTGTGGATGGGCCCTAAATGACCACATGGTCTAGGCAATGAGAAATTAAGGGATTTGCTGTGACAGTTTTAAGCCTGATTATAGTGTTTAAGCAATCTGGCCAGGACATTCTGTAAAAAAAATAACAATCAAAAATAAATAAATACAAATATCTTTTGTGATCCGCATAAACTAAGTCATTTAGGTTTTCAACAAAACAAGAGCAACTGAATAATGACAAAATCTTCAATTTAGGGTGTTAACTATTTCTTTAATGATGCAAAAAGTATCATTATTATCAATCATTCTCAAAGTAGGAAGTGGAGGATGAATGGAAAAGCGCTTCTTTCGAGTGTAAACAAAGCTAATTACCAGTTTAGTGCACTGCTGTAGGATACTTGCTTGTAGGAGAGCATCCTCAGAAACATCTGCTTTGAAATGAAGCAAGCCAAGAACTGACTCGCCTCATATTTCATAGCCCATTTGTGATAAGTTATCTAGTGGCTATAATGGAAAATGCTGCGTGGGATGACAACACTGCATGATAGATGAGTAACAACTATCTCAGATTTAAAAGTTTCCATTGTCAAGAGTTTCTGTAGCAAGCCTGAGAAAGCAACGGCTTCTGAAACAGCTGTGCCCCTTTGAATATCCACTAAACCCACAGCCAATCGTTGGTTTCCCTCAATCCCCACACAAACTCATTGCATATATCACAAAAGGTCCCATAGGAAAAAGACAATCAACCTCCACTTAATCAAGTAAGCTAATAGAAGCCCCTGGACCCTAGGGAGGGGCAGTGGAAAAGGGTAAAAAAGGACACAAGAGTGAATTTAACAAAGAGCTTTGAGAAAGGAGATAGGACAGTAATTTCCTTCAGGTTTTATTTTTATAATGAACAGTTTGGGAGGATGCGTCATTTCCCCACACCTGACTTGCTGGTATTTCGTCCATGGTGTGAGAGTAACACTACAGCAATAAGCTTCTTCATCCATCATTATGAACACTAACCTTCAGGCGGCCCTTTAGCTAACAACATCATTCCTCAAACTGCCCACGAAATGAGACTTACAACATCCCAGCCAGCAACTACCACTACGGACTGTAGTAATGACTTACAACACGTGGCTTGCAAGTAAATAATCGCCGTCTTGCATTCTGACCAGGGAAAATGGTGTTGAAGCAGGGATGGCGCACATATTGACTGCAACTGAAGATAAATGAAAATGCATTACTGTAAAGATGGATGAATTTGCTGTAGTGGTGTTTCAGTCGACTGATATGAATGAAGTGAATGGATCGTTCTTGCTCACTTTCGTGCAACTAACTCAAGGTAGTTATCAGTGTTGTGCACTCGAGACTCGGACTTGGACTCGGTCTCGAGACCATTTTTAATGGTCTCGGTCTTGTCATGAATTTGTGTGCATTTTGACTCAGAATTGACTCATACTCTAACATATTAGGACTCAGACTTATTCCAGAGTCCACTTGAGTCCCATTCAAAATATGTCATGTCATTTAAATTGCTGTTTGATTGAAACGTCCAGTGATTGCTAACTTTCTTGTGGTCAACTGACTATAACGACTGTAACTATAACGTTCGCGGCACACAAATGCAGCAGGACCCAGGTCAGATGAGATGTGAAGCTTCTAGCTCAACTATGTATTGAAAATGTCTGCCTTATTATCCATAATTCAGTTTGCATATAAGAGCCACACAGAATTTGTGTGCAGTAATGTTATGTGAAAGAGCACTTACTGATTGTAATAATTGCAAGTCATTATTATAATAAAATTACCTTTACACCACTATGTGGCTTTTTTACCATGACAGTGTACATGATTCCATTTGGTTTACTGTTTGAGTATGGTGACAATTTTATTTTTACCAACAAATATTTTACATTTTTTTGAAGATATCTTTAAGTCTGGTTTGAGACCCAACCTTAGGTTATCCAACCTCTCTGGTCTCGGTCTCGACTCGGACTCGACCCTCTGCGGTCTCGGTCTCGACTCGGACTCGACCCTCTACGGTCTCGGTCTCGACTCGGACTCGACCCTCTACAGTCTCGGTCTCGACTCGGACTCGACCCTCTATCGTCTCGGCCTCGACTCGGACTCGACCCTCAATGGTCTCGGTCTCGACTCGGACTCGAGTGAGCTGGTCTCGACTACAACACTGGTAGTTATGCTACTAACCTAACTATTCTCAGAACTGTGACAGAAGCTCAGCCACATGATAGCTTTTCCAGTAAATCTCTCAGTATGTTCGCAAATATTTTCGTCTTGCTTTTTTAAAAGATATAAAGCCGAAATGACTGAATTGCATTTAAATTTTAAACAAATTTGTCTTGCTCAGTTCTTAACGATTTCCCACAGAACCCGTTAAAGACAGATTTTGGTGGCTCATTGAAGGAAGGAGAACCTATTGGTTTTGTTTTTTATTCGCAGTATTCATTTTTTTTTAATTTATACATGAATGACTGTAATAGTATCCCCTTTAATACATTATAGTATTTTGAATTCATATTTTGGGTAAATGCTAAAATGATTCACTCGCTAAAGAAAGTTATCCGTGAATTCATCTTTTTGGTGAACAGATTCAAAAGAGTCGAGCCACTGGGATCAATCAACACTATTAATTTGTAGGTTTACTCTGAGCGACCTTTATAAGACAGTTCAAAAGGTGAACAAAAGGACAGTTAATGATGTAATCGGCTGTTCTTCTGCCTTGTTTGACAGAAGCGATTACAGAACAACAGATGTCCTGTTCATGTTCTGGTTGCTAGGGAGCAGTATGCTAATGAGGATTGATCTCCAGCTCTGATAATGCAAAGAGTTTAGGCTGGCTCACTCTTGAAGAGTAACTGACTCTAATGCAGGGAATTAACTTCCCCTAACACTGTAAACACCTGCATGAGATGAATTTGACCGTGGCTCCACCAGTATTTGCGTTTTAGGCGCTATTGAGAATGAGGAGTCACGGGCCGATTTGGGCGGGTCTGAGCCGGTCGGCCATGATGGTAGGATACGCTATCGGTTACCAGCGGCAACTCCTTTATAACCTCACAGAGACGCGACTAAATATTCCAGAGGTCTTTAATTTTTGCGCATTTATTATTTTCACGCATTTATTATTTTGGCAGGACAGAGACAGATAAAAGCTTTAATCAACACCAGGCTCAGCAAACGACTCGTTTTTCAAAGTGGGGAACTATGAGATC